CCCACTCACCTGACTTTCATCCCTCGCCGCCCACGGCGCCTCTCAGGGTTCGGGGACCCGTCCGGTAGGAAGTTAAGGAGGACACCTATACCCCCGAAGACCACCGGAAAGGGAGAAAACCGGCCAAGCGTCAGATATGAACACCGCCATTACACCCCTCCCTACCCTCCCCGGGATTATTCAAGGGAAGCATGAATGGCCCGCTTCCTGAGGCATCAGGTACACATCCTTAGAGCCACCGGGTAGATACCGCGGAAGGGCCATGGTGCCAGCACTCACCCCCCCCCTTGCCTTGTCTCCACGGTCCTTTTCCTTACCTTTTTCATAAAGCGTGGACGCCGCGTCATCGAAGACACGGGCCGCCTCGACTTCATCGTTGAAATACGCCAAAAATAAGTCTTTCCCCTTGTAATGAACATCCACACGCCACCGTCCTTGTTGTTTGCTCCACCGTACCCCTCGGAAGGTAGAAGTCGGACAATCGTTGTTCCGCTTCTGCACGGCCCGGCCAGGCTTCTCCACTACGTGCGGAGGGACGCCTGCCCCTCCATTTCCATTCAATCGGGAGGAGTCATAAGAAGCCACATCCCCCGGCTTTGCTTTTAATTGGCTGGGGTCGTGTGAATACCTTTCCATCGCATTACTCCGGCTCGTACCATTGCTGCTGTTATTATTGCCCTCAAATTTATCGTTCATACAAACAGTATTGTCGCTTTTTGTGTCTTGAATCTCGTCAAATTTATCCGCGCGGACCATGTCTTCCGTACACGTCGCCACGACAGCCCCCCCTAGCCGCTTTCTCTCTCCCTTTTTCCCGTGTCCTTTTTTTCCATCACGCGCCGCTCCTCCACTATCTCTCCCCTCCCCATTCTCCAGCGTGTTATCAACTTCCAGATACCGGCCCGGAAGTTTGGAAGGACGACGTTCTCTAGACTCGTCGTTTTCAAGGCGGCCATGGCAGATTCTCGCATCCGCCTTACGGCCCTGCGTGGCTACGGGGTGGCCATTTGTCTTCACGGCGGCCGTGCCATTTATGTGTTCTAATGCCACCATATGGAGAACATTGATGTCCCCTTTCACAGTCATGCTGCTGCACTGTAGGTAAAAGGGAAAAGGGCCAAGGGTTTTTGGTACGTAATACGGGGGGGCGGGGGTGTGGCTGGCAGATGAGAAAAGGCCCCACGAGCGGCGTTTCCTGAGCTCGAGGCTCCCCTCCTCCAGAAATTCGGACAAAAACCTGAGCAATGCGGTCCATATCCAGGCTCAAATCATCCATGTATACGTACAAGACCACCAAACACGTGGATAGGTTCGAGAAGTTGAAGGGGAAGGTGT